AGTTTTTAAAGCATAACTGAACCGGCTGAAAGCGTATCAGCCAACACTCCCCCCTTGAGATCCAGGTCTCAAGGTTCCAAAGGGATTTACTCTCAAAGTGCAAAACCCACGTGTGCATGGCTGCGCTCCAGACACCAGGAAGGGAGGCGTGTCCGAGCCATCTGCACCTAAAACTACGGCCCTTAAATATGAGGAAGGTGATCGTCCCCGAGTGACTGTGGTTTGTCTCTGCTTTTAATTCAGTATTCTATGTCCATTTTGTTTGTTCATTTTAGCAGTATATTTTTCCAATTTAGTGTTTTGCTTTGTGTTCTGTAAATATTACTAGATGAAGGAACACACGTATTAAAATGACATGCCACAAAAATAAACCGACATTTCTCCTAGGCGTTAAAACTTGTGTTCATACAGGAAAATATACTAAATATTTATTCTTTGAAAAAGTCACAAGACATTATAATTTGAAAACAGCCAATTTCTTAGGTGCTGTATCTATTTTCTGTGTGTGTGTGAATGTTTCTTTTCTTTTCTTTTTAAGGGTGCAGGGGCAGAGGGAGAGGGAGAGAGAATCTCCAGCAGACTCCCCGCCAAGCGTGGAGCCCGGCAGGGGGCTCAATCTCACGACCCTGAGATCATGACTGAGCCAAAATCAAGAGTCGGACGCTGAACCGACTGAGCCATCCAGGTGCCCCAGTGAATGTTTCTTTTAATATAAAAACATTATCTTTTTATATTTTTTCTACCCATATATTTGCATTGAGTAGATGCTTATATGTGAATTCACCCAATGTCTACTTTTATAGTGGAATTCCGTTTACTTCTCTGCCATTTATAATATGTTAGTTACGACAAAGGAATGAAATACACAATTCCTGCTGTTGACACTCGCCTAAACAACTCATTTTGTGATTTGCGGTTCTGGTGTGAAGAGCAGAGATGCTTTCGTGGTACAGCGGCTGGACGTTACCACCGATCTTCACCCCATACGACTTTACGGTACATTGTGTTACTGCACTTAATAGAAGCGTGAGGATCTTCTCTTCCCTCCTGGTGAAGACAGCTCATCCCAGAGACAGCTGGTGTGCGTTTGGAATGCTGCTTGTAACAGAAAATACATGTAGACTTTTTGCTTTTCAAGGGCCAATGCTTTTGCCTTAAGACGAATTTTCCAACAGCGCTAAGATGAACCGTGACATTGACATATTTACCACGGCAACGCTCTAGCTAGGTAACTGACCAGGGAGGGCCCACCTCTTAGTGCAAGCATTTGAAGGTGGGCAAGTCTGGCCGCACCTCTTAGTGCAAGTCACCTAGATTCCGGGGCCCTCCTCCCGCCCTCCTCCCCAGCGCCACGAGGGACTCTGCCTTCACCTTCTCCCCATCTGCCGCAACCCCACACGCACCAACGTCAAGACGCCTGCCTGAAGCACTCGTCTGTGTCACCGCCACACACGTGGCTCCTTCTCTGAGAGTCCGATGGGCCCTCCCCTGTCCCCCTCACCACAAAGGTCCCTACTATGGGGTCCTGCATCTGCACAGGCAGGGTCTGGGTGAGTCGCCCCAAGGCCCCTGAGAAGCCACAGGAGTGATGCTCCCACGACAAGTCCCGGCAGGTCACAGCGGGGCGGGAGCCGCACAGGCCAGCCCGGACCCAGGCCCAGCGGCGCCCAGCACAGCTCGAGCCTCCCTGGTGCTGCCTCAGAGCAGAACCCTCGCCCAGGATGTGACCTGCTCCAAAAGGGGCCACTGAACGTGGAGAATTTCTGGAAGCCTCCCGGCCTCCTGCAGAGGCACCCAGGACGTCCGTACCCTGAGGGACAGGGGGGCAGGGCTGAGGACACTGCTGCCGACACAAATCACCTTCTGCTCAGCCTGCGTCCTCTGACGACGCTTCCGGAAGTGGCCTTCGCAGACCGTGTCCGCACCACCTCCTTCTCTCTCCGTGGCTTGTGGGCCCTGCCGGAGGCACTCCTGCTCCCGACCCCTGGCCCCCAGCATACGCTGAGCTGGCTTCTCCCCGGGGGCTTTGGGGATTTGGTCTTTATCCTGAGGGCGTCTGGAGCCTCTGAGGAAGCTGGGTCTTGGCGTGGGTCCTGTCACTGTCCCTGGCAGGTGCTTCCGTCTGCAAACACATGGGCTTCAGATCTGGGTTTTTCCTGTGCATCCTCCTTCTGGGGCCCCAGAGGGCAGGCCTCCTGGACGAACCTGGAATCTCCCTTGTTTCCACCACTCCCCCCACCCAACTCTTCACCATTGTTCACCTCCTGGAGAGCTCCTTGGCTTTATTCTCCACTCCTGCTACGTAGCTCTGTTAGCATGCTTCTCCCGGAGGGTCCCTCCCACCCACGCCGCTCTGGGCCCCTGGACACAGCTCGTCTGTCTTGTTCATCTGAGGTTTCGTGTCGCCCCCCCCGAACCCCCCGGGTTTGCTGCTGTCCTCCCAGCTGTTGGCTCTCCGCTCACCGGGAGCCACAACGTGGCTGGCGGGAACCTCTGTGGGGTGTGTCATTTCTCCTGCAGCCTCTGCCCGAGAACACGCCTGTCGGGCTCACCGACGAGCCTCGTGGCGCAGCAGGCCGGGCAGCTGACGGGAACTCACTACTCAGTGAGAGAACTTAAAGGGCTTGTTTGCATGGACAGCAGTCCGACGAGCGGCTGTCTGCCGGTCATTGGGTTTCCTGGCCGCCGGGAGGCAGGCTGCAGACGCGGCTGCTGGTCCATGGGATGCGTGGACTTCAGTAGTGGAGGTTGTGGCCTCCGCACCGGTCACACGGGGTGACAAGGGCCCACGACTAATAGGCCTCATACAGCGAGGGCAAGCACGCGAGGTGCGTCTTTAGCTGTGACTATGGCCATTGACAATAGCGCCAGGGACACGATGCCGTTTTCCCTTTTCTGAAAATCCTCTGGGAAAGGTCACCTCAGATCAGGAAAGCAGCCTGAGCCGTGTTTATTACGTGCGGTGTGGACGGGGTGAGCGTTTCCACCCTACGGGGGCTCGGGCCAGCTCTGAGAGCCTTGGAGCACCTGATGGTGACGACCGGTAGGACGAACGTTGCCTCTGGGCTCATCTGACCATATTCCTTCTCTTCTCGACGCCCTGACTCTAAAAACCCTAAAAAGCATCCTCTGTGGTCCCGTGGGCCACATCGATCCACTCTGGGACGGCCCAGGGATGTGACTAACAAACCCCGGATGGAAAGGCCCGGGATTGGGGGCAGGGCGCGACAAGCTGGCTCAGAGGAGGGCAGACCAGAGTCGCTGGTGGGGACGCTGAGCCAAAGCGAGTGGGCCTTCTGTGTGCAGTGAGTTCCTCCCGCGGCACGTGCTCCGAGGCGGTCAGGTGGGTCCTTCCCCAGTTTTCGGGGGAAGAAGCGTGGGCAGGTCCCGTGAGCTTGCAGAGGTTAGGGCGAGTCTGGCCCACTATCCCTCTGATCTGTACAACAAGGTGACACAGACGAACTTGGTGGCAACCACAGCCACGGTCTGAGTGTGTCCCAGCAGCCACGTGTTGGAACAGGTTCTGGGAGGCCACTTTGTCAAGGTCACCAGGCTGGTAATGGTGGAGCTGGGAGGTGCACAGCCAGGGACCCCGCCACGGTGCCCACGACGCTTCTGACACACTGAAGATGCTACTGGGGCTGAGGCCACCAACGTGGTGCCCCGTGGGCTCCGTGTCCAAAGGTGGGCCTGGACTCCATCCTGGGAGTGCTTGTCAATTAGGAAAAAGGACAAAAATGGAGCTCTTGTGGAAAGAATTTTTGGGAACAGCACATCTTCAATATAAACTTTTAAAAAGCCAAGATGGTGACAATCTGAATTTTATAAAATATTGCGAGGAGTTTAATCTTTAAGCATAAAGCCAGAAACCTAGCAAATGTTCAGTATTTCAATGTTCAGTATTTCCCAAGTGCATTTCTCTGACCAGATACCAGCAGGGTCAGTGCCCCTGACCCCACAGTATTCAAGGGTCAGCCACACATGACCATGATTTTTTTTCTTTTTAATTTCAATAAATACGGTACCGTAAGACCATCGTCTTACCTTGGTAAATACTGATCAAAAATAAGCTTTTTGTGTAGTGAAGCTTTCTGATGTGGGTTTTATTGTGATTTGCAATTTAAGACAGTGTATGAAGAAGTAACAATAAAAAACGTATAAAAACCAGTAACAGACAAAAAAGATTCCCATGGCAACTTACCAAAATACTCATTTAGAAAAGCGAGCGAGGCCACGTAGCAGCCCAGGCTGAGGACTTCGGCCACCGCCATCAGCCAGTGCCACGTCCTGATGGTCAGGGCCACCATGAGCAGCTCGGTGAGGATGAGGGCCGTGAAGGAAATGGCCACCACGTGCACAAACTCGGACTCGAACAGGAGCAGAGCCCCGAACATGAGGATGCCGCCTGCAACACAAGCAAGGGGACAGCAAACAGCTCCTTCTGCCTGGGCGGGAAACGGCTGCCACACCGGCCACAGCCACGCCACCTCACGGCCGTGGCTGACCGACACGCACCACACTTGGAAAGACGGGATTACGTACACCCCCACGCTTCGTGTCGCCTGACAGTTAATTTAAACTCTCGACGGTGAATAAAAGAAGACGTGGCACCAAAGAGAGGCTTAGGAACTTTTAGTATCTGGAGGAAACTATGCTTTCAATGTATCTAATCTGTTAAGTCACTTTCAGCGCTCTCTCATTTATCTGGAACACTCATCAGAGGGTGGCTAATGACTTCTATTTACGTAAGTGAGATTCCTCAAGGTCTGGACATCACTCTGCCAAAGGAAACCACTCTGTGGGGCATACGATGTGGTACGTGGTTGGTAAAATTTTTCTGGATTAACATTTAATTAAAAACATGCATCAGTAAAGAACCACCCATCCACACTGCACTGTGAAGGGTCCGGATGACCAGCCACTAGAATATTGGTTTACAGGGTAAACAAAACGCAGTATTAGCTGTTGATGAAACTTGAAGCCTTTGGACTTGAACCAAGAGGGGAAAACAACATCGCTAGCAGAAGACAAGAAACCCTCCGTCCAGGCCCGTCTTACCTTGGTAAATACTGATCAACACCCAGACAAGGAAGGTCTTGAAGGACAAGGATCTTCCCTAGGGTAAACAGTGGAATATCTTAGTTAGCAGAGTGGAGCAACACGTGTGACTCACAGGTTTTCAAACAGCTAGTTATGAGTGACTTCTCAAAGACCCGCAGGTCCCAAGCCCAAGACTCACCGTCCCCCCTGTGCCCTCTCTGCTTGCCCTCTGGTGACCTTTAGGCCACAGCCGTGGGCTCCCTGGCTCCCCAGACGTCGATGTATGTCAGCCAACGCTGAAATGCACTAGTGGGTGAAGGCTTTCTTTGTCATAAAAACAACTCCCTTTACTTCCTTATTTCTTGGGAACAAATATTCCTGTATTTACTTTTTAGTTTCTCCAGATGAAAAAGGATGGTCTATCACAACAGAGGTTGGAGTTTACCAGCCCGTAGGTCCCTTCTGGAAAACAGGCCACGTCAGTCAGTCCAAGAGGGACAAACAGAGTGGTTTTCGGGTAACAGTCTTCACTTTTTCAACTCTGACCAGGTTGTCTGGGATGCGTCCATGATGGAAGAACGTGGCCTGCGTTCCCTCCACACCCAAGACGGAGACCCGCCATTCACCAACCGCACTGGCCTGTTAGTGCTCAGGGCTGGTCCACGGCAGTGCTTGTCCGCTGAGGCCATGGGGACGATGGAAGGCTAGGACAAAGGCCCTGGGGACTGCCGCCAGACCCACGTGGTCACCCCCTGAGTCAATCCTCTCACGGCAGTGTAGCGTCTCCGTTCGACAGGGCAGACATTGTCTCCATTTACACATGAAGAAGCGCGAAAAGTTCGGTGCTTCCCACAAGTCCACGCTGCAGGTTAGCTGCACTAAGCAGCGTATAGTTGACCCTTGACTTGGGTTTGAATTGCCTGGGTCCACTAACATGTGGAATTTTTTTTAAATTTCAATAAATACGGTACCGTAAATGTCTTTGCTTTTCCTTGTAATTTTCTTAACTTTTTTTCTCCAGCCTACTTTATGGTAAGAATACAACATATAACACATGTAACGGAATCAGATGTTCATCAGGGTGGGTGAGGCTTCCAGTCACCAGGAGGCCGTTAGTCCTTGAGTGTTTGGGGAGTCAAAAGTGATATGTTTGTGCAGGGGGTCAGTGCCCCTGACCCCACAGTATTCAAGGGTCAGCCACATATGACCAGAGTTCGAAGCTCTGCCAAATGCCACCAACGAAGAACGAGCCGTTACGGAAGAGAAGCCCGGGGGCGTGCTGCCGGGTGACAGCCAGAGTATTCTAGATCTGAGCCGCGCCCACCTAGAGTCAGGTGACCACCTTTCCAAAGAGACGCACGTCACAAGGCAGGTGTGGCCGCTCCAGCATCTTCCTGGGAAATACCGGCTGAGCCTGGGTCCTTACAACATGTGTGAAAAGGAAGGTTCGGATGGAACAGAGGTCACTAGAAGGCAATGCTGATTTTAAAAAAGGCAGGAAACTTCAGGTGCAACATGTGTATATCTCAGTATGTATTTCCCAAGTGCATTTCTCTGGCCAGATACCAGCAGGTGTTTGGTCTTTGATGAAACTCATGTAATTAAATATGTGGCTAGTTTTATTTGAATATTTTAAAAGAGAACTTAAATTTAATTTTTTGATGTAAACATAAAAGATTTCTTCTGTAGCTAAACTTGCTGACATCTCTTAACTATTATTCATGTGATACAACTCTCAGTTTATATAGTGAAAGATACAAATGGGGGGCTGTTTGTGCTATTTCTTGCATCAGGAGCTGCAAACTCCTCACACAGTGTTTGACTCAGGTCAAAGCTCTGTATTCAAGCAGACCGTAGATTAATAAGGCAAAACACTACAGAATGGGCACGAAAACGGTCAATAAAATAACTGGAGAAATAATAGAAAAATATGCATAAACCACTAGCTCCTGGATGTGATACTCACCAATGGCTCCCAGACTTCAGCTCAGAGAGACAAAAGTGAGAGTCTCATTGTATTTAGTGGCACAAATACGCATGAGCACAGTTCACTTATGGCAGACTCAGGCCACATGTGCAGGGGCTCTCCTGGGCCCACACGCCTCTCCTTCCATGTGAGGAGAGGAAGAACGGCCCGTCTCTGGCTGATGGGAACTCCTCTAGCGGAGCTCTGTCCAGGCACCGCGCAGACACTGCTCAGGACCCGGCCGACCTGGGTTTGAGTCCTGCCCGTGGCACCCCAGGGCACACACTCAGCCTCTGTGAGTGGTCTCGTCTTCCGTGAATAGAAATAACAGTACGTACTCATGTGGATAAAATAAGCATAAAGCCAGAAACCTAGCAAATGTTCAGTATTTCAATGTTAGATCTTAGAGACCGGAAAGTACATTTCTATTACATATCAATCAAACTGTAAAAATTAAATCAAGCAAATCTTGGGAAAGGTTAATCCACCCGAAGGTCATGCGAACACTCACTAATCCGTCCTGGTTTGGGATGCGTGGAGGACAAGCGGCCGCACGTGTGGGCACAGCTGCCTCCCTCAGCCCCTCCGTCCCCGACCCCAACCCCGGGCCGCCGCCCTCCTGTCCTCTGGGCCCCAAGCTCCGCATTTCCCAGGGTGCCCGGCAAACGTGATCACACGAGCTTCTGAGTCTGGCTTCTTTTGTGCAGCAGAATGCTTTTAAGATTCACCCACGGTGCTGGACGCGGCACGGCATGGTGCAGTTGCTGGCGGAACATCTGTCTACAGGATTCCGTGTAAACACGTTTTCACTTCTCTCGGGGAAATGCTGGGTCACGTGCTCAGTGCATGTTTAACTTCACCAGAAACTGCCAAACCGTGCCCCGGGGTGGCCATGCCGTGCTGTGTGCCCGTCAGCGGTGCCGTCCCCGCGTGAGGAATGGTGGTGCGCAGAGTGTCTCCAGACGCTCACTGGCCACGTGCACGTTGTGATCCATGCTGTGCTGTCAGTTCGGGCTTTTTCCCGCTTCAACAACTGTTTGTCTTCTTCCTGAGTTTTGAGGGATCTTTATATTTTCCAGATACAAGTCCTTTGTCAGAAGTGTGATCTGCAAATATTTCCTATAAGTCTGTAGCTTGTCTTTTCATTTTCTTAGCAGTGCCACCCACAGAACAAAAGTCTTGAATTATGATAAAGTGCAACCTACAATTTTCCCCTTTCTGAATCATGCATCTGACCCCGTATCTAAAAGATAGACCTGCCCCAAGGTCATGCACATGTTCTTCTGCATTTTACTCCAGAAGGCAACTAGTTCTACATCTTACATTTAGGTCTATGACTCATTTTGAGTGCGTTTCCCCAAAACTGTTGACGGTGGAGGCTCCGTTTTTGTGGATGACTCTGGCAGCATCTGCTGACAAGGTCGTCCCTCTCCTTTGGGTTTCCCTTCACGCTTGTCAAGGAAAGATCAGCTGTGACGCCCGTGGCTCTTCCCCGGGCTCTCTGTCGACCCCACTGGTCCGGGTGTCTGTCCTCCACCAAGAATCTGTTGTCTTGGTCACTACTGCACAGAATATCTTGAAATCAGGTAGAGCGAGTCTTCCAAACTTGTTCCTCTTTTTAAAAATGGTCTTGCTAACTCTAGCTCTCCTATGTTTCCATGTAAATTCTGGGGTCAGTTTGTCAGCTTTCGGACACACCGAGTCTTCTTTTGCACTTTCCAAAATCCCTCTGGACGGTGTCCTGCCGCACACACGTCCTGCACACAGTTAGTTACACCAACTTTGCTTTTTTTAGGTTATTGCAAAACACTGTTCAAAAACATTTTTCAGACCTCAGTTGTTCATTGCTAGTATATAGAATTAGAAAGGATAAAAAGTATTTTTTCCTTGAATCCTGCAACCTTACTAAACTTACTAGTCTAGAAGGGTTTTGTGCACTCTTTGGGCTTTTCCACATAGATGATTATGTCATCTGCAAACAGGTCCTCCCCTAATTTCTGTCTTTCATCTCTTTTTCCTGCCTTATCACTATTATTTCTAAAATTATATAAGAATACAAATGTACATTTCAAAGCTAAAACCATTTTGTGGAAATACAACAGGAAATAAAAAAATAGTGAAGCAATCCTAACAGTTGTGTGTCTGACGGTGTCAAGGATTTTGACGAAGGACTGCAGGACATTACCTCCTTGCTTATCTCGACAATTAGTTCAGCTTCCACCCAAACCCTCCACAGTTAGTAGGTTACTTATCATGAATATAAAACGACATGTTGGCCATGGAATCCACAGCTGCAAGTCTGAGATACCTTAGGACCATGTGGGCTGGGTCAGGCTCGCATGGCCTTCCCTAAGAGGCCACAGACCGTCTGGGGTAAACAGAGTCCCCTGCGGAGCTGGGAGGGGTGGTGGGCACATAGGGTCCCTGTGTCACTGGCAATACCAGGAAATTGCAAGTGGCTCCTCCTCATGAGTGAAGTGTGAGCATTCAAAGCAGAATCTGACCTTTAAAATTAAGAGGAATACCAAAAACTGTTCTGGACGCATCATTTTCTGCAAGGAATGAAAATGATGTGGCGTTAGGAAGGGGAGGGGAGGGGAACGCTGCTTCTTTGCTGGACTCCCTTACCTGCTCGCGGACTACTGAACAGATACTGACTCCAGGCTGGGCTCAGGCTCTCCAGATAGAGCCGTGAGCAAACGTTTATATTCCGGAATGGCTGATCCTGTTGGAGCATGTGAGTCAGAGCTGTAACGCCTGGGTTCTGGCTCACACTCTCAGAATAAAAAGACAGCCTATTGAGTAAGTATGAAAATGGTATTTTCTTTCAAAGCATGCTACTTTCCTCTCTGTTTTGCAAAGGATGTGTACTCTGCCTCCCCTCATTACCTTTGAAAGTATTTTAGGAATTTCTTGTGACCCTGGCCTTCTGCTCAGAACAGGCTGGATGCGTCATGCAGCAGACGAGCCCCTGCAGCCCCTCCGGCGGCCTGTTTTGACTATCATGTAATTCGCCCTGAATTTACGTTTTCTTTCCAGACTGAACGTGGGCTTCCTGAGCCAGGAGTGACGTCCCGCCCAGGCCTCCAGCACCCACAAACCTAGCGCCTGCCACACGGACGGGCTTCCCGAGTCACCCGCCAAGCATTCAGAAGTAACGCAGCTTCAAAATCTCTCTCTGGCTTCGGTAAGAAAATACAATTCAACTTTTATCAACTTAGGTGGTTGAGTACTTTAGTGCTAACTTTGTTTTCAAGGACTTGAAGTGCATCAGATTTTGAAAGAAATATATACACTATAAACACAAAAGGAATAGATTTTGGATCTTGAAGAAAAGGAGCCTCAAGATCACAAGTAACTGAACTCCTGTCACAATAATGTAGGAATGACGTCCTGACTCGAGGATACGGAGATACTCTAAACCGGTCACCTTCACAAAGCCGAAAGCCAACTCCGTCAGAACTGAACACAGTTTCCTGACATACTCTCGTGTTCAGTGTGCCAGCTAATGGGGGCGTTTGCGGATTCGCGGCTACCTGACCCTGCAGACATATTCTTGTTCCCACAGTCGGAATCCTGATCAACAGTGACAGTGGGTGGAGACGGCGTTCACCATCTGGCGATGTCGCCCGGGCTGACCCGCAGTGACCGCGACTGGCTAAGACACCGACTGCCTACGATTTTAGGGAGCTCATCTAGTTTTGTTCATACATGAAGGGCGTGTTTCCCCCTTACGTCTGTGAGGCAGCTTTAAGTAAACATTTCTGGAGTTTATGGAAATAAGGAAACACATAATCTACTAAAATTATAATTCCTCACAAAAGCTTCCTGTAGTTTTTGGATCTTTGATCCTGTTCGGCTTTACTGAATGGTAACAGTCTCACCATTTTAAAATATTAAACCAAAAAGTTTTCCTTTTATTTATAATATTCACAATAATATTATCATCAGGATATTTATCCTTGAGATATATATATATAATCTTATATCTGCATTTTATTATCACATTAAATGTTATCAAATATGATTGTTATTTTATTTTACACCCTACTGGTGAACTACCTTTATTTTTGTCCTGATTGTAAAAGTAACATGAGCACTTTGTATTTTTTCCAAGGAACTTGAAGTCTCAATTTTCTCCAGCCCTTATACCACCACCATGAAGCCCGAAGATCAACGTGGCCTGGACAGCTCCTCTCTGAGCGGTTGGCAGTTCGCTGAGTCTATGCTTAACGCCAACTGATTCTTTCTCCATACTGCTAGAGTTTTAAAGATCTGAGTTGGTAATTTCAGGTTATCAATTGTAAAACTGGATTTGATTGGGGTTAGTGGATTTGGTTCTCAGTATTGCTTCAGGAAAATTCCAAAGCCACTACAACTTGTACTTGGAGAGCTGGGGGTGTCTCAGCCCGAGGAGCTTGTTTTTCATGCTAGGGAAACATGGTCTCATAAAGAAATTCGACAAACTTGAAGCTTCTTTCAGGAATACCTCCATCTGAACATAGTTTTGGGCCAGATAAATGAATCTTCTGCAGTTTCAGGGGGCAGACTTTCCCCAGCAGCATCCCTGTGACCTCAGCCCTGGGTCACAGTGACAGGCCCTCTGTCCCTCTTTTCTCAGACGTGATTCTGAATGCACAGCGGAGGGAGGCTTGGGCAGGCACAGGGACTCGCAGCCAGTGAGTCTGAGTTCGAAGCGCCAGGATGCCGCCGCAGGTGGACAGAAGTCTGTCCTGCCCCAGGGGACCCCACAGTCAGCGAGTGTCCTTCACACAGAAATGGGCACTAAGCACGTGTCAGCCATAGGGTGAGCCCAGTCACCACGGGCCCACAAATGGTTCAGAGCACCTTTAAAATTTTAATTGTAAGCATGACATCAGAGCTTTATGCAAACATTCGGAAAAACATGTGTTTTCCCTTTTTGAAGTTTAACTCAAAAGGAAAATGTCAGCACTAACTAGAAGTAAAACCCGTCTGGAAGCTGCTTCACGACTGGCACCTTTTCTCGCAGTAAATACTCTGCTAGGATACCAGCAGCAGCCCGGCGCCCATACCTTGGTGAGGTCCTTGTAGAGCTCCGGGTAGAGCATGGCCATCTCCGGCTTCACGTCCTGGTCCAGCACTAGCGAGAACACTGGGAACATGGTGTACAGAGTCGCATACCTTACAACCAAGAGGGAGGCAGATTAGCGGGAGGGGCGTGCGCCACGGTCAACACCTCTGCAATCAGAGGCCACAGTTTCAGAGACTCAGCAGCAAATTCAGGTATGATTTTTCCTAAAACTCAGTACTTGCCCTGCAGTATAATAACTTGGTCTGTGAGCCATAAATGCTCACAGGAATCCATTTTTCTTTCTTAATTAAACTTTTTATTTGGAGGTCACTGTAGACCCACAGGCAGGTGTAGGAAGTAAGAGAGATCCCATGTGCCCTCGCCCTGGTTTGCCCACAGTAGCATCTTGCAAACCTGCAGCCCAGTCTCACCGCCAGGGTGTCGGGGACACAGAACCGCCACCACCCCCGGGGCCCCCCGCTGCCCACCTCCCTCCCCGCCTCTCTGTAACCCCCCTGGCAAGGCTACACGTGTGCCTTTCCCGAGCCTGACTCCCGGGAGGCTGTTCCAGGTGTTGCTGCGGCCGCGCTCACCCCCGTGGGCTGCTAGTCAGCACTTGCGGTTGGGGGCGGGCCCGCCTCTGTAACCCGCTCGCTGAAACAAATGACGCAGCTATGAACACTCATCACACGGATCGTTCTGTGAGATCTTCCATTTATTCTAACAGGAGTGTCACCTGGGGTCATCAGCCCAAGAGTCTAGTTGTGGGGACACAGGGGCTGTGCCGCCTGGCCTGGCTGGGCGCGTGCGGGGGGCCCTGCTTCTCTGCATCCCCTCCCCGCGTCCCCGACGGCTACTGACAGGGACCATCTTTGCGCGCGCTCACATGCCATCGACATCCTCTGGGGTGAAATGTCTGCTCGTGCCTCCTGCCCGTTTGCTAACTGGAGGCTCTCTTCCTGTTGGACCTTGAAAGTTCTCGGATGTGTGGTGTGTGCCCGTCATTCCTGAAGGAAGAGCTCGCTGCAGGCGGCCGTCTGTGCCCACACCGCTCCCTCCCGCCTGGTTCTGGGGCTGCTCTTCCCCCAGCTTGCCACCTTCACGCTGTTTGTCCTCTGTCTTCCTGAGTCTCCGTGTTGCACGTCTTGGTGTGGATGTCTCTGAATTCACCTATTTGGGAAGTTTTCAGCCATTCTTCCTCCTCTAGCCCAGCACCCCCGTCCTCCCTCTGGAGCCCCTGAGGCTCTGCTGGTCTCCAGGCTCTCGTGGTGCTCACAGGACCGCCGTCCCATGTCCTGTCCTCAGTGGGCCCTCTGCCCCGCTGTGGGTCAGGTCCGTGTCACGGTGGGCTTGGTGGTCAGTTTCCATTTGGTTCTACTTTTTATTTCTAAGCGGACACGTTTCATGTTTGTTTGTCCCGCGTGTTCCTGCTGCTCATTAAAGTACATCCACGTGGCGGCCTTAACACCGTGTCGCACAATTCCAACCCCAACGGCGCCTCGGGGCTGGCATGTATTGTCTTCTTGGCGAACGCTGACACCTTCCTGGTTCTGGGCGTGGCGAGTGATTCTCTACTGAAACTCGACATCTGGGTGCTGCTGGGACGCTGGGTCTCCAGGCACTGCTCTGGGGGGAGGGGGTGCTGCTGCCGTGCCCCAGGTTCCTCCCCGTGCAACACCGACGAGGGCGCTCCTTGCTGCTGGGTGTGTGTGGGGTCCCGGCTCCCCACTTGGCAGGGAGGTGGGGCGGTGTTTCCATGGCGTTGGCTGGAGCAGAGTGGTTGCTGTCTGAACGCTGTGTGTCCGGCTGGCCAGGGCACACACGTGTTCCACCTGGCGGGCCAGGGCACGCGCATATCCCACCCGGCGGGCCAGGGTACCAGCGGGCCAGGGCACACGCGTGATCCATCGGCGGGCCAGAGCACACGCGTGTCCCATCTGGGACATCCGCAGGAGTTTGGCTGTGCTCGGCAGAGGGAATGAGGAAAAGTGCATCTACGCTGTCTTTCCTGAAATAGGACTGGATTTCTTTTAAGTGACATTTTCACCTGTGAGAAAGCTCTGGCGTCGGGAAGGTACCCAGGGGCGGAGAACCAGGTGGGAAGCTCTATGTGTGAGCAGCGGTCTCCTCGGATGGGCTTCCACGGTCACTGGTGCAGGCGGTGCTGCCCCGTCCAGGGCTGCGGGTCGCGAAGGGCACACTGTGTCAGGGAGGGCATTTCAGCCTGCTTCCTCTCACTGTGTGCCCGTGGAAGCTCCCGGGGCGGAAATCCAGGTGCTTCAGAGTGGTCGGTCCTGCATGAGGTTAAACAGGCTTACGGCCCAAATTTCCCTCCAAATTTTTTTCTTTTTAAAGATTTTATTTATTTATTTGTCAGAGAGAGAGAGAGCATGAACAGGGGGAGCGGCAGAGGGAGAAGCAGGCTCCTGGCTGAGCCGGGAGCCCGACGTGGGGCTTGATCCCAGGACCCTGGGATCATGACCTGAGCTGAAGGCAGACGCTTAACCGACTGAGCCACCCAGGCGCCCCTTTCTTCCAAATTTCTAACTTTGCCAATCTTCTCAGAACAACTCCCACCTGCTTAGAATGTGGAGGCTGAAAGGGCTGAAGGGCCCGGCAGAGCCCGGCTGATGGGCACCTGTCCCACGAGGGGTGGCCAGCCGTCACACAAGTGAGCCCTGCAGCCAGCTGAGGTTGGCCTGTCCCCGAGGATACTGCTCAGAACGTGCGATGCTGACGGGTGTTGGGCAAAGAATGGGTTTGGTGCAACAAGGTCAGACCCGTTCTTGACCCAGCATCCTGTGCAGACGTCCACTTGCCGACCTGCACGGTGAGCCTCTCAGAGGGGCTGTGATACGTGGGGTTTCCCCAGGACTTGGCCAAGGAGTGCTTCCTGGAGGGGAGGCCGCAGCGCGTGGCAGGAACTGCGCTGGGGGCACCACGGCAGCCTCGCCTGCGTCAGCGGCCCTTCCGAGCCAACGACATGAAGGAGGATAAAAACCTTGAAACACGTGGAGGCGAGTTCGTCAACGGCCCTGAGGCGCTATTGGCTGTATCTCAGGACATGACTCTGGTCTCATCAGACTTTGACAAAAACATCACTTTCCTTCCCATCCACGTCCGACTGTTGTTTTCTAGGTGACGGCAAAACTGATTTTACGGTTTTCTGGTGAAGAAGCTTCAAGTAAAAGCACCTCTCCTCACTCCCACCAAATGCTGGAGAAAATTACAGATGCCTCACGTGATGGACACGCGGAGAAACCCCGAATGAAGCCAACATGAGCAGGAGCTTTAAAAGCACTCGGAGCTCCCGCTGAGGGGGGAAGAATCCAGTGAGGCCCACAACCGCGGCTTCACCGACCCGGGCTTTACTGCCTAAGGAGTAATCACCACTGCCCCCGACGTTTTCCTCTGAATGTTTCAAATCCATAGTTTTAAAATGGGAAACAGTGTTTGCCGCCAGGGAAGCCGTGCGCTGGACAACTCCAGAGGCAGTAACGTCATGTGCAAATCCTAGGCCCTCCGAAGGTCATCCACGGGAGGGGTACTGGGAAGGCCGAGGCCACGGGGAACTGAACAGGGCTGGAGCTGTTCGTGCCTGTGGGGCTCCCCCGGCCGGCGCTCCCAGGGACGGCACGGAGCCGCTGGACAGCTGGCGGCCATGCAGCACACCGCCGGGCACAGCGCCGGTCACCCTGGAAGCCAGAGCCGAGGCCGTGACGGGAGCGCTCCCTGGGCCTGGCCCATTAGGAGAGGGGGCCGCAACGCAGAGCCGGCGCACTGGCTGCAGGAAGGCGCTGCTCCAGCTCCCCGGGGAAGAGCCCCGGCCAGGGAAACAGCAGGTGGGAAGGCCCGGGGCCCAGACCAAGGGCAGGCAGAGCGGCGCCTGCCTCTGCAAGCGGGTACTCAGGTCCGGCCCGGCGTCGGGCGGGGAGATCAGCCCGGGCTCCAGCGGACGCAGCTGCAGGAGTGGCAGGAAGCACCTGCCGTCGGCTTTGCCCCGGGACGCTGGCGACTTACGGCACCAACGTGTTTGGCAAAGCCTGACATGGCCCAGCCTGACGCTCTCCGTCTCTCATTCAAATTATCAGGAACCTTGGGATTTGGGGAGCTCTGATAAAACGCATTCAGAAAGTGTACTTAAAACAGCTCCAAGGGGTGAAAGAGTTCGTGTGTTGTTCTTTGCAGCCCTGAAAAGACGCTCAATGCCACGGGAAGGCGGCCAGCCTGTCCGAGGCCGGCCCCGGGCTTTGTCCCCCAGCAGCCCCGTGGCCTCCAGCACGTTCCCAGGGTCCCTGGGCGCCTCCTTCCTCGCCCATGTCACAGGGATGCTACACTGATGGGATGAGCGCTCTGAACCGCGCAGGGAGCGCTGGTGTGACCCGCTGCTGCTTTCCGAGCATGAGCACACACGGGCAACACACGGGCCATCGGGAGGCACCGCATGGACTTTACGCCACGCCAAGAGCCACACTGGTTTTATCTCCTGGCGTAAGGATGGGGGGAAGAGAAGTTCTAACTCATTCACCTCTAACAGAACACTGGAGGTTTATAATTACAAACTGCACGCAAGCGGCAGTCTCTGACGTACTTTTCCAAACCGCCGTGTGGGGACCTTCGAAGATGAGATCTCGTTACTACTGACGAGACTGCCCGTGTCCACTCGGGTGTGTCGTGTCCCATCCTGGCACCCTGTGCCTGTGTGTCTGCTGCCGGTCATGTCCCCGGCACGACCCCCCGTGTCCCAGCCTCCCCGATCCCAGCCTGGGATGGGGCCACCACGGCACCCAGGCGCCCCCCAGGGACACACGCATTCTCCTGACAAAGCAACAGTAGGATGGTGAGGGGGTCCCGCTCCTGACACCCGGGTTCTTACTCTGAACACCGACTGTGTGTGGAGTTACTCAGACAACATTCTAGCAGCGTCTTTGGAAATGAGAAGTCCTCCCCGAACGAGACTGCTGAGATATGCACGAGTTGCACCACTTACCCCACCATGAGGAATCCCTGGTACAGAGGGACGGACGCAAAGTAGAAGACAGAAGAAAACACGGCCTTCAAGAGAGGAGAGCTCCTGTTAGTCCCGCACCTGCCCTCCCCGCGGCTCCACCCCGCCCTGGCCGCCGGGCTCCGGCACCTGCATCGTGGAGATGATGAGGCCTCTGTGCATGACGAACTGGCCGAGCGCCGCCGACCTCTTGTAGCTGCTCCGCCCATGCACCATGAGCAGCCGGCCGATGTGCTTGAACTGCGTGATGGAGAAGTCCGCGGCCAGGGAGGCCTGTCTGCCCTCCTGGAACAAGCACAGTGCCTTCTCGAAACAGAGCACACGCAGATCAGGCGCCTCCAGAAGGGGCTTCTAGAACTCAGCCTCCACCGACTGAAGGTGGAAGCTGTCCCTACAGCCTCGGAGGGGACGGGCTGACAGGGCGCGTCAGGCGGCTGCCGGCCAGGATGGCGGGAGCCTGTCGGTATTACAGAAACGAGGCAGAGAAGCAAACCTGCCTTGAAGACCGCCTTGGGGTCCCGAAACAGTGCCTGGCCGCTTCCCAGAGCCGCGGGGGGTGCGCGAGGCAGGCGAGGAGAGCCCTTTCAAGGCTCTTACCTGATGCCGTCAGGCACCGGGAAGCACAGTGGCCGAGGGGAAGAGTGGAATCAGGCTCATTTCCACACAAGACAAACCCCAACCACAGCTCACGGTTGGCTGGGGACACAGATGTGCAAACGTGAGCGAGAAGCTGGGGGTTCCAGGATGGCAAGAAAGGTGTGCAAGAGGGCTGGCGACACCTGAGCTGAGCCTGGCGGGGCGGGGACTGCAGGGCACTGGTCCCAGGCCTCCTGAAGAACAGCGAGGACGAGGGGACGTGGGGGGTTTGGCAGTGGCAGCCTCCGCGTCCTACCTACACTTCCTTTTTTTAAAATTTTTTTTTTTTGATTTTTCTTTTTTATTTATTTGACAGAGAGATAGAGAGCACAAGTAGAGTGGCAGGCAGAGGTAGAGGGAGAAGCAGGATCCCCGCCGAGCAGGGAGCCCGACACGGGGCTCGACTCCAGGACCCTGGGATCATGACCTGAGCCGAAGGCAGACGCTTAACCGTCTGAGCCACCCAGGCGCCCCCCTACCTACACTTCCTAAGGGGTTGACGGGGCGGCTGGTTCGCCTGTGACCCGAGTGTGCAGCTCAGGGCCGGCGGGAAGCACGCAGACGACACGGTGACCAGAGGGCACACGTACCTTCCCTTCGATCCCGATGCCGCAGTCTGCCGCCTGGATCATGCTCACGTCATTTCCTCCGTCACCTGGGGGCACAGAAATGGGAGATGACACAAACATCAAGACCCCATCCTGGCCTCTCTTCCACAGGAGAAGCTGTCCCAAAACCCCCCGTCGAAATCCGAGCGGCCTGCTGACGGAGCGGGCCGGGCACTCACCGATGGCGCAGGTACGTCTCCCTGCGTGCTGCTGCAGCAGCTTCACGATGTGGGCCTTCTGGGTGGGCGAGCAGCGGCAGCACACCACGGCCGGGCACTGGCAGGCCAGCTCCACGAGCTCGTGCTCATAGTACTTGAGGCAGACCTGCGAGACAGAGCCTCTGAGCACCGGCCGCCCGCCACGGTCTGCGGGGCCGAGGAGCAGAGCGGGGAGAACGCAGCAGCCTCGTGCTGGCACGCGGGCACACGCCGCCTGCGTGCTCTTCCCAGCTCACGGCCGCCCCGCCTGGCTGGCGACTCAGGGCTCGCAGGCACGCAGAGGAGGCAGGGGTGAGGTGGGAGGGCCGGTGTCCAGGCCCTGCGGAAGGAGCGGGGCACCTGCACACACAACTGTGCGTGTGGACGGGCAGCGTGTGGTGGTCAGGGTCCAGGCAGGGCCGGGCAGCCGGGGCTGGGGCGGGGGGACGACTCCGCATGTCACCCTGAGCATCACCACGGCCCACTGTGGCTCTGCACGTGGCTGGTGGCTGCCGCCCTGCTTGCGTGACCGAGGTGGGGGATCCCACCACAGACAGCTTCCCGCTGGGTCTTGGTCTCTTTTCAGGTGATTTCAGCCCCACCTTGGCTAAACAAGATCTTTAATATAAAATACTCTGTTTCCATCCTAAGTCTCCAACTTGGTTGGCAAAATAAAACCCCCTTAAAGTTGCCTTAGACTGTGGGGCCCCCTCGTGTGCGGGATATCCTGTCAGAGATCCGGGCTCTGAGGCCCCAAGGTGCCAACCACCACCGACAGCACGCACACCTGCAGGGGACCGTGGGCTGTGTGTCCTAGGACGGCTGGTGCGCCGCGCCCGCTCTGGACCGATGCTCCCCCAACCCCGCAGGGCCCCTCAGGGGCTGCGGACGCTCCTCCCCAGGACTGGGACCGGGACAGCAGAGGACTGCGTGCCCGGGTGCCTACGGGTCTGCGGCCACCTCCATCTTCTCTTCTCTTGTTCTCTGGTGGCCAACAGCTCGTGGCCACCCCTCCGACCCCCTGGGACCTCACGGCCTCGTCCCTGTAGGATGTCCTCGCACCAACTGGATCTTACTTCCTCTGCCTGTGTTCCCTTTGCTCCAGCTTTCGTGTTCACATTGTTTTGCCCCGACAGCCCGCGTGCACTTCCTGCTCCACGTCTCAACCCTCTTCAGGGCTTGTCAGGATAGGACACAAAGTTGAGTACCAGGTGGTCAGGACACTGCTCCCAGGCGACAGCGTCGCCCTCAGACACTTACAATCCAAGTCAGTTCAAAAACTTCGTTAATAAGACAGAATAAAACACGGCCCACACCTGCAAGCTCTAGTTCAGACCCATGAAACTGCACACCGTCGGATCAATTACAACAAACTCTTCCGACAGGCAGACCAGCGCGTGTCTTGGTCTCCCACCGCGCCAAGAACCTGCGTCACTAATGCAGCCCATGAAGACATGCATGTGCGCCGTGTGCAGAGCAGAAGGCCAACGCGTCTCAGCCAACCTCCGGAGTGCAGGGTGCATGGGGGCCACCGTCAGATGGCCACGCGAAGGGCTGAGGGGAGGCTTCATGCGCTTTCCCCTAAAACCTGGGACGGTGAGCTCCGGCCCCCGCCAGCAGGTACTGGGCAGATAAAGAAGCAGGGACAGAGGACCACTGAGATGACAGACCAAAGCCCTGGAAGACCCAGACACAGAAATGGAAGATGGTGCTTTTGGGGAGCAGGACCGGCAGAGGGAGGGGCAGGCAGGGAGCGTTTCCACCATCAGGTTTTCTGTGTTGACTGATTATGTGTATCTCTGGTGGGGACCAAAGTAGCAAGAAGAGTTAATTAAAAATATATACTCATAAAAGATGGTGCATTTAACACAAGGAGCTACTTCTGCTCCTTCACAAACCACACGGACAGAACTGTAAAGGAGATTTTTAGAAAGACATGTGTGTCTAAGGCGGGCCTGGGGGCAGGAGGAGTGCACGTTTGGGCACTGGGAAGCAGAGGGACACTGCTCTGCGACCCGGCAGCTGGGAAATCCTCTGAGCCAACAGCGGCACAGCTGAGGATCAGGTGAGGCCCAGGAGCCACAGTGCTGGATGCCCCGGGTGGAGGGTCCAGGTGGCACCAGCCCATGGCCAGGCACACACAGCCACCCGAGGTGAGGCTGCGGCTGCTGGGCTGACCCCTGGGGAGGGCCCGTAGGGAGGCGGGAGGACAGGTGAAGGGAAAGAGGTCAGGGAGTTGGGGCATGGGCTCCGGGGCTCCGGAACCTGGCTCAGCCCCTCCTGCAGGGCCGCAAGCCCGTTTCCTGTATCCCATGGCCCACTCTTGGAAATCCTGGTTTGGGCACATTTAGGTCAAGATAGTGGGTGCCACAGTCAAGACTCCAAGGGGAGCTGTGCTATTAACAATGAGTATGAGGCCTAGCGCTGAAAAATAGGTCAACCTCGAACATAGTAAGGACACAGTCACCCCTCTGGTATTGCCATGACAGTTCTTCAGCCTATAAAGGCTCATGAGACTTGCATAACCACTACCCGGGTAGTAATAACTGAAGAAGTACATCTGACTCAGAAAACCCTTGGCCCATGGGCGGAAAAAGCAGACAGGTGCTTGGCCGGAGAGCAGCCTCACCCCCAGAGACACAGACGGACAGACAGACAGACAGGTGCTCGGTCGGAGAGCAGCCTCACCCCCAGGGACACAGACGGACAGACAGACAGGTGCTCGGTCGGAGACCGGCCTCACCTCCAGGGAGTCCCCAGATATGACCAGTGCACAATCATGCTTCCTCCGAAAGGCGTTAAGCTCCAAGTGGGCCTCTCCCCGACTGGTTACCTCCACAAAAGGGAGAAAAGCACCCAAATTACAGTGTTATCTAAATCAGAGGTGCAAACAGCCCTTATTTATGAATCACAGTGAAATCTTCAGACACATTATTCAAAATCAAAAGGTGCTTTACACAGTCCAGTCCTGTGGCAAAGCGCTCTTCCGAATCTCTCTTACGGTGCCAGGAATAAATACCTACTTGCTTAACACCGACTGTTTCCCAATTCGTGACAACTCCAAGCAGGACACAGTTACCGTGAGACAAAGTGCCCCGAGGTGGCTCGTCAGGAAATAAGAGGACAGGGGACCCAGGCGCTGAGAGCTGTGCCATGAGGGCGGCATCCAGCTGTCTGCGGGGTATTCCCCTCTGGCACTTTCACAGGGTAGCCGTGTGCTGGGGGGTGACTGTCAGCAGTAGGGACACAGTTCTTTAGACACTTCTGTGCGCCCACCGCCAGAGCCCAGGCTGCCCACGCAGTGGCCGTGGTCTCAAGCCCAGGCTTCAGTTGAACATGCCCCTTTCTGTAAATGCCACGTGATGCAGAATGTTCGTATGAAATGCTTCTGCTCTCTCTGCCACGGGTTTCAACTTTCTCTGTTAGTTCAAGCAAAAAACACTCGAAGGATTAAACAATCTAAAAGTAAAATTCTTGAAATACTGTTAATTTTAGAATGAAAGCATTTCAGAAAGCATCGTACTGGATTCTGACATTCTTTCTGCAGGGATTTTTATGGGGCATACAAGAAATGCTACATTGCAAGACCAAGAAGTTTCACGTGGTCCAAATTAATCTCAGACTCCTCTTTAGATAGGTAGGCTTTACTGTGGAAATTTCAATCTGTGCGGTTGTAAACATTGAAAAGTCAACAAAAACTGATCTAAAGTTTTATCAGAATCATTAATAATTTAATTGCAAATAGTCATCTGCAGGGCCTAATTTGCCATTCTGATGCTTTGAAACAAATGACATTTACATGTAAATTATATTCAAATCACTATTTCTGTAGGTCCAAGTGCGTCCTTCAGAGCAGATGCAGATGGACCGTGTCTGCTCACCACCATCAATCAAGACACGGGAGATTGCATTTTTCTTTGAATTACAAACATTAGTCATAAGTAATACAGTAAAAACAAAAACTTTAGACCATTTTTACTAATTTTCTTTGAGCTAATTAAAACATTTCACTTGAAAATGATAGATTAAAAACACATTCCTGTTAATGGGTGTAGCTACTACAAAAATGTAATTTTTATCAACATACACTTTGTAAATGGAACGGAAAACGATGGTGGTATGTCTATTCTAAAATAGATACTTGGTTGATAAATAAATCCACTGTACAAAAGAAAAACACTTTTGAAATTAGATCTTGTTTCACTCCATCACAATGTAGCTTTTTCATCCCATGCAATGTGAGCAGCTAACAGAAACCTATTTGCAATGTTTTTATAAATTCAGCAAGAAAATTACAATATTTCTCTTCCTTAGTAATTACTAAATATTTGCACATATATTCTCACAAATCCAACAAGTTTTGATTGTGAGATAAAACATTTAATAGTCAAAGTGCTTTTCGACATATACTCACTGGTCTGAAAACGTGAATGTCTTGTGTTCTAGACACCAAATGTGAGCTTTTGGCGATGCATGTCGCGGTCTCGAGTTTATCGCCTGTTAGCATCCATATCTAGGGGACAAGTGAAGATGGAGAACTCTTAGAAGCATCCATTCCTGAACACACACTTGCACACCCATGTTCACAGCACGACTATTCATACCAGCCAAACCACAGAAGCAACCCAGTGTCCACTGACAGACGGACAGATAAGAGTGCGGCATGCATGCCGTGGAACAGTACTCAGCCTTGAAAAGGGGGGAATATTCTGGCACTGCTGGGACATGGATGGGCCTGGAGGACGCTGAGCTCAGTGAAGGGAGCCCGCCACCCACAGGCAAAGGCTGTGGGGCTGCATTGGTAGGAGGGCTGTCGACGAGGCGCACCCACCGAGACAGAAGGCAGATGTGGGTGCCAGGGCTGGGGGAGCACAGCGGAGTTAGTGTTTCGTGGGGACAGAGGTTCAGGTTTACACGTTCTGGAGACAGGCGGTGGGGACGGCTGCACAGCAGTGCGAATGTACTTCGTGACGATGAGCTGTGCACTTAAAAATGGTTAAGATGATAAATGCTACATTATGTACATTTTACCACAATAAAGAACAGTCTCTGTCGACTTATTTAGCTAAACCTTGGAGGAGCAAAATGATGTTAGACGTAGCAGCTGAGATGTGAAGGCACGTGAATGACGGGGGTTTAGGAACCTCAGGCTGAGGCTACAGAGATGCCTGCACACACCCAAAGGGCAAGGCTCACCCAGCCCCGCGAGCCACACGAGCAGCCCAAGGACACCATGGGGTCATGGGCCGCGGAGCGAGGAGCGCCCTAGAGACCCTTAGTCCGACTTGCTAATTTTTCAATTGGAAACTGAGGTTCAAAAAGGGGAAACGGTTAAGCCAAAAGTTGTTTGTATCAAATAAAACATGGCACATACTACTTTTACTTCACGTATCATGTATATAAGCATATCGCTAGACCACAAAGAGAACAAAACCAGACATTTGACATACGACAGGACGGTTCACACGCATATTTCATGTAACAGCAAAATACAGTGATCTCTCACTGACACCTGATTTTCTCAGATGTCTAGTGTATCATACATAAATACGCATTTTTGGACACAGGAAACAAAAACTCATGGCATACTGATTTTTTGCTCAGGCGTCATCTGCTTGTGGCTCTTCTCAGTGTTTGAGGACTTGTGCTTTTTATTTTGCACAACTAATATTCACCTTATTGAGCCTGGGCCTCAGGTTATGACACATCGTTAAGACAAACCTGGGAACAATTCACGCTAGACAGCAAGAGCGACCACCCCTGGTGAAGCTGTGAGTGGCTCAGGGGCACGTGTGACCTGCGGAACCGCCACCTGACATCACATCCTCACGCTCCGTGAACGGATGGAGGGTCCCCTTCTTTAGACGGGAGACGTGAAGGAAGAAGGGCAGGACCCCACACACTTAGGGTTTAGCAATCAATCAACAGAAATACCCAGACCGTGCGCACCGAGAGCACCCGCAGCTTCAGCGCGCGCAGCTGGGGGACAGAGGGACGCAAGTGTATGAAATATCGTGGAAAACGAGCAAGTGCCCTGGCCGCGGCTCTCACACCTCTTCACCCAAGTGCCGGCTGCGCACCATAATCAGCGCAAAGCCTGAGTCTGAATTGCTCTTGCGATTCTGAAGCCAGATGCGCCTCCTGCCGGGTTGCTGTCCTGCATGGACGGGGGTCTCCTCTCCCACCCAGACCCCTGCAGGCAAGGGCGCACCCGCTGCGCGCACTCGGCGCCTCCGTCAGAACCCACTGCGTGCGTTTCGGCTGCAGCCCCAGGCAGCTTTCCCTCCAACACCATCCTTCCTTTCTGTCGCTCTAGTCGAGCTATTCACTAGTTTTTCTCTGAAACTCGAGCTGGATTGTTTTCATTCTCCAACACGAGGCCCCAATCCTCAGGGCAGCCTCGGAATAAATTTTCTCTCCCATCTGTAACTGAACTTTGGGCTTTAATGGCACATAAGGTCAGAAAGCAGTTCCCTGAAAGCTAAAACGTACAGCACAATGCTAATTTCCCTGGATGTGAAGGGGACAGACCAGTACGAAAACGGCAGGACAGAAGGCCAGCAGGTGGACACTCAGCATCAAGTCACAGGGCCTACAGGGACCCCAGCAACGAGAGCAAAATGAGCCGATACAGCGGAGCTGAGGAACCCTCGCGGTAACATCTGGTTGCGAGCAGAAAGCTCTAGAGCATAAGAAAAGCACATCCCGCGTGAGAGCCAAGGTCTTCCGAGGCCTGGATTGTCCTGAGCTCACACCTGATGGATGCCCAAGGCCACGAAAGTCTCGCGGGACAAAGCTGGGTGGTGGGTGAGTCTGAGACCCTGGTGGGCAGGGATGGGGCAGGGTTGGGGTGGGGCGGGGCAGAGAAAGGCAGGGGGGACTGCTGCTAGTGACAGGATGATTTGGGCATCCTCTGGGGCAAGCGGCAGGTGGAGGTCCCAGGCGACTTTCGGGGCGCTGGCCTGGGTGAGGCTGGTCTGGGGGCACATCCCAGGAGGAGGAAGCTGGCCGGCGCTTCCAGGACAGCAGCAGTCCGTCGCGAGGGCCAGCACCGTACCTTGATGCCCGCGTTCCGTAGCATCTCCAGGGTGGGCCTCACGTCGGCCTGCAGCTGGTCCTCCACCCCTGTGAGGCACAGCAGCTCCATCTCCCGCTCCAGACTCTCCACCACCGCAGCCACCTTGAGCGCCCTGTCGTGGATGCTCAGCTTGGCCTGACTGTAGCGGCTCTGAGGAGAGACGGGGGGTGCGGGTCACCCCGGGGGACGTGGGGGCACGGAAATCTGCCCCATCACAGAGGCCTGTCTGCGCGCGCCGGGGACACACCCCTTTCCCAGCAGACTGCAGCAGACGGCCTGGCGCTCCGGGGCAGCCAGGCTGCCCCAGGTTGTGTGCGTGTCCACACCAGCAGCTCGCACCCACGTCAACGGGGACGTGTCTGAGGGGTGGATGCCCACGGGCAGAAGGGGCTGGACAGTCGGCTCACCTCGAAGTCCTGGTACTGCTCTTCTGTCAGCGCCCTCTTGGCGACCACGAGGGTGCGCAGACCTTCCCGGGCCATGTTTCCACACTGGAAAAGGAGATGCAGGTCACGTGCGGCCCCCAGGTGCTGACCACGATGGGGACAGGCACCCGTGGCGCTCGCCGATACTGCGCCGTGGTCAGGGCGCTGCCCCCCCGGGTCCGTCACTGTGCCTGAAGCCACCCGCGGTTTCTCAGTGTGTCTCCTCCTGCCGAGGTTTGGCGGAGCATGCGTGGGGCACGTGGCTCATCCCGCGGGCATGTCCTATGATCACAGCCTCGCTGGAAGGATGGCTCGGCTCCCCTAATCTCCACGGGCGGGCGGGCACGGGCAGCTCTCAGACAACAAGCACGCTGCTTTCCCACATTCGACGAGACTTTTCTTTTTTAAAGATTTTATTTATTTGAGAGAG